TTAAATACAGTTCCTCAGGTTGTGACCCAACCATAAAATTATTTTCGTTGCTACTTCATAACTGTAATGGTGCTACTGTTATGAATCGTAATGTAAATATCTGATATGCAGGACGGTCTTAGGCGACCCCTGTGAAAGCGTCGTTCGACCGCCAAAGGGGTCTCGACCCACAGGTTGAGAACCGCTGCTCTAAGTCCACTCCTCTGGGTTCCCTGTGGTGACAGAAAAACCAGCTCCGCCTGGGAGGCCGAAAAGGAGAAAAGCGCCCTTTCTCCTGATTTCAGGCAGCACCAGCTCCCCAAGGCCGGACAGCGGAGACAGGCTGGGCCTTCTCTCGGCCACCAGGCCTGAAGTTATTGCAAAATCAGCGCCCCAATTTAGTTTTCCATATTAAGAAGCAAATACAGTGGGGCCTTGACTTACGAGTTTAATTCGTTCCGTGACGGAGCTCGTAACTCAAATTACTCGTATGTCAAATCAAAAAGTGAGCGAGTGAGACACGTGATGCTGGGCTGATGTGGCGTTCGCTGTGACATTCGCTGCGCCAACTAGCGGTGGGGTATCTGAAGCTGGCTCGTAACCCGAATTTTAGCTCGCAACTGAAAGCAAAATATCGGCTGAGAGACGGCTCCTATCTCGAAAAACTCGTTAGTCGGGACACTCGTAAGTCAAGGCCCCACTGTACAACCACCTAAATGCCTTTTGAAAATCTGTACCCTGCAGACCATGCCCTCTGGGGAGCCTTCTCTACAGCACAACCCAGGGGTCCCCGACCCACCAGGTTGGCAAGAGGCGGGGCTCGAAGTGAGCCGCAGAATCTGTGTGTCCTTTGCCCTGAGGGCTGGGCCCATGGAGACCCACGTGACTGACAGGAGGAAGATTTACCAAGGGCTGGAGGGGCCCTTCTCCCTGCTTTGAGGAGCTGAGGGAGCCTTGAGGGGTGTGCAGAGTGCAAAGCCAAAGAGAGTAGTTGCTCACATGTGGTGGGGGACCCAGCACTCTGGGTGAATCCACAGGGAGAGGGAGGGAGGGAGGGAGGAGCCAGGGAGGCAGGGCATTGGGGTGAGAGATGATGACTTCCTGCCACCCAAGAACCACCCAGAGAGCATTTTCAGAAAATTCTGGAAGTTTCTATGGGCACGATGTGGCAATGAAGCTCCTAAGATGTGGGCCATCTCAGATGCCCTGGACGCATCTGCTAACTGCCTGAGAGGGAGGAAGGCAGGCATGGAAACCATGTTTGGAGGCACTAGAACAAGCGTGTCAAACTCGCGGCCCGCGGGCCGTATGTGGCCCCCAACACATATTTTTGCAGCCCAGTCAATATAATGGTATGGAAGAGACATTTTAATAAAAATTTTGTAACTTAATTTTTACAATATCCTGTTATACATAATTAATAACGAACTACAACTTTCACTAATGACTGATTACTATAATCATGTTGCATTCATTTCCCTTATTGCATAAGGTGCATAAGGCGGACCATGTCTCTCCACTAATACTAGCAGTGAATATTTTAGCAGCCGATAGCCACGTCATTGGTCTTGGACTGACTTGTTTGGTGTGCACAACTGGAAATATTTTGCTTTCAGAGAACAAGAAAAATAGTTTTATTTGTGTTACGCTTATTAATTCGTGCAGTTATTCAGTGTCTGTTAATGTTCAAGAAAAAATATTTTTATTAAAATGTTCTATTATTTTGTTAACGATACTCATTTATTTCAGCCCTTTGTATTCAGCATGTCTTTATCAAAATAAACCTACGTTGCTATGAAAATTGAAGCTTTTGTTTTCTTGTGGCCACATACACTTAAACCTTGTTTATCTGGCCCGTGTTAGCCTTTGAGTTTGACACGCTTGCACTAGAGGGACTGGGAATATTTACATCACGGCACATGGGAACAATCCCCTGACAATTTTCACCCCAACAGGCAAGTTCTTGGCGTCTTCAAGCAACAGGCAATTGCTGGAGCCCGTCACATACTAGTACACAGCCCGGCCGCCCCCTCCAGCCAGGGAGGGTCATGGTGAGAGGGAACGAGAAGTGGGTGGGAGGGGAGAGACCCTAAGTGCCCTCAGGGTCGGGGCTGGGAGGGCACCACCCACTGAGGGGCACCAGCACCAGCTGCAGGGCTCTGCTAGCGCCCCCTGACTCCCGGGGGAAAGTCCCCAAACGCGACAGCAGACCTCGCACTGCCCAGCACCGTAACCCACTGGTCCATTTCATACCTGAGGCAGGAGGGAGGGAACTCACCCCCTCCCAGTCCATCTCACCTGTGTGCACCCCACCCTCAGGACAGGGCGGGGCCCTAGGACTCAGGGAAGAGAATGACCCGGAGGAAAGAAGGACCCCTTCCCCCTGGTCCCAGCCTGGGGGTGACTCCAGTGTCCCCGCGTGCTGTGCTTCTGCGGATGCTACAGGGCTTTCAAATCCTCATCCAGGGGAAGCGGCCCTGGAGCCCGGCAGCCCAGGGGGGGTCTCTGGTCGGGGTCTACACGGCTGCTCTAGAGTGATGTGCACAGCGGGCCGGCTTAGCTGCTCGGGGCTGTAAAGGCAGGGGACTGAGGGGCAGAGCGAGAAACTGCCCTCACAGGTGGTGGGAGGAGCAGATGGAAACTCACCAGGGCAGCAAGGTCTGTGCTCACGGAGGGACGGACAGACGGACACATGGACAGGAAGCACAGAGGCCAGCTGATGGCGGCTTATGGGAAGGGTGGGAGGAGTCTGCCCCCCTGACCCCCGCCCAACGCCCTTACCCATTAGTCTCTCACTGAAGCTGACCCAGAACTTTCCTTCAGGGCCAGGTTCTCAAGATGCCACACACCTTCCGCCCGGACCTTGCTCGGGCTCGTTAGGGAGGAATTCGAAACCAGACATCAGAAGGAACGCCTGCTCCTGCTTCTACAGACATCTCCTATCTAAGTGCAATCGTTTGTTTTTCTTTTCTGACCCTCCCCCCCAATTACAAGAGCTAAATTAATTCTTTTTAATTGCCTATTCTTGTAGCAGTGTAATTACCCTGTGCTAATTAGCTTTGGGGAGAAAAGGGAGTATTCCTGCATGGTGATAAAAGCATTATTTTAAAATGAAGGCCTAATTAATCAAGCAATCCTTTAAACGTGTGATGGAAAAATATTTTTAAAAAGAGACATTTTTACCTACAGTGGATATATAGTTTCCTAAGCACAATACGTGCATCAACCCTTTAAGGAAGTGACATTGGCACATTAAAGTCAAAAGAGAGTTAACCAGGAGTGCTCTGCATATTAAACACATTATTTTTAGTCTCAAACGGTAACTGCACGTACTTTATAATCTCAGAGGGTTCTGCTGAGCTAAAGGCCGGTCCTTAGGATGTGTTTTCTGAAAACGAAACACGCATTCAGACCAGGGACACCAGCAGGGATATCATTCCGGAGCCATGTGGCCTGCGCCTTGCAGCCGAAACTATTTTCCTATATCAGGAAAAATGTAGGGACGTTGGATAGGGGTAGATACTAGGATATGAGCTGGGGCACCCAGGAATCAAGTAAATTTCTGATGGAGTTTTAACTCAAATGATAAAAACCAACCACCAGGGCAAAAACATACTCACACCTGCACAGCCTGCCCCCCACCCCCACGGATGGCCACCCCGCTGGACTGGCTGAGCCACAGTGGGTGACAATCTGGAGGTCAGACCCTGCTCTGCTGCTTACTGGCCATTGACCTAGAGTCACTTCCCCAAGACTAATTTTCTCTTAAAGGGAAGAATAATCCCTACTTATGTCATGGGGAGAGAGGGGAAGGGAAGGGGGTTGAGATTAAAGATAGAAACAGATGTGCTTTGAAACCCAATGAGTCTGTAAAGACGGAGGGACCAGGCCAGCTATGCTAAGAGGACAGAGTGTCCCTGGGGCCCCGACACCCCTTGCACCTTAAGTTAATAGTGATGACCTATTGCCTCCCCGGCCTCCCACTTAGCCAATTTCTTAGGAAAATCACCTTTATCCTCAACTTGAAGACCACGGAACCCCATATCTAGGTAAAACAGCAAAAAGAGAAGCCTTCGTGTGGTGTAGCTGCTAACACTGCTATAAATCCAGGTGGGAAGCCTGGAGACGGAGTTCAGGCCCAGCGTAGGCTCACGCTCACTTAAAGGACACACGCTTGAACACCTCCTCCAGCTGAAATTCGAGAGGCCTTAAAGAGCACAGCCCCAAGCCCCACCTCGGGTCACAACTGCTGTGTCTCCGGAAGGAATCAGCTCCTGGATTTCACCCCATCACCAACGTGAATCACCACTAAACACCTCCCTTCCCCTCACCACCACGGGTGGTTCCCACTCAGTCTTCCGTGCAAAGTAGCTTAATGTTGAAAGTGCATCGAATCGGACAGACATCTGCGATAGAGACATTACAAAAATAAAAATACCTCTATACAAAATGAATTGTGCCTTCATTTTAGAAACCACAAATGGTTTGTGTTCATAAACCTTTTTAATATATATTTGAGAGCTCGGAAGCGATCGGAAATTAATATTTTTCTATCTTTGAATCAGCCTCCCGCCCTTGGCCGTTCACGGGTCGCAAACTGTAAGGTTCAAGAAACTTAGCTTCAAACACTCCAAGTCCCGGTTCTGGGAACTCTCTCTTCTGGTCGTGAGCCGAGCGCTGGCACACTCCTTCCAGCTCAGTGGGCTATGAGATTTGCTGGGCATACAAACAATTGGGTCTTTCAACAGGATGGTTTTGAGAGTCGGGCATTAACAAAAAATGACAAACCCAAAGTGACAGCGCGCCGCGTCCCACGGAAGGTCTGGAATGTATGGCTGTGAACCACGAGCTCCATCGCGTCTGAATCAGCACCCGTTTTGACATTAGTCTCTCCCTCCTTCCCAAGCGCCACACCAAGCATGTCAGCATCCATGCAACACCACACACACAGGACCCGTTTTCCGTGAGTGTTACCTTTTTGGTCCCCATTTTGTATGGAATGATATTTTTCAAGTATGATGGTCTGTAGGACATTTCATGTTTAATATTTCATTGCTCATTCTCTGAATGCATCAATACAAGGAGAAGAATATTGCATTCTTGTTTTCTCGCTTCTGCTGTAAAAACAATAAACAAACCTGAAAAAACGGTTTCCATTCTTCCAATTGGTCTAGAAAAAGGGGTGGGGTGTCTGCCATCACAGCCCCGCACCCCCGGCAGGGGGAGGCCCCTGCTCCAGCAGAAGTCGGTGGCTCTTCCTCTCTTTGCAGCAAAAGCTGCCTAAGCAATGCCCCCCTCTGGCCCAGAGGAGACACTTGAGGACAACAGTCCCATTTTGCACTTGCCCCCGGAGACTTCACCGTCACCGACCACCTCATTTCTCAGGATGCCGCGAAACAGAAGGACAAACTGCATCCAGAAGTCCTTCTGACCTACGTGTCCACGAGAGATGGGACACGCGCCACGTCCTGTGACTGCAGCTCAGGGCGGCAAAGATGCTCAAATAGCGGCCCCTGCATCTCGCCTTCCGGAGGGCAGGGCTGACTCCCAGGAAGAGGAGGACGCCCAGCAGCCGGGCCGTGGCCAAAGACCATGATGGCTCTTCCTTCCAGTGTAAGAAAAGACAGCCGGTGGCTGCCGGCGCAGGGGACTCGTGGGGGAGGGAGCGAGGGGAGGACGCTAGGCCGGTGTCCAGAACAGCTCCCAGCGGGCAGAGCTTGGCTTTAGTCGTCTTCTCGGCACATCGGCAGGTTGACAAAGGTGAAGACGTTAAACTCGATCATGATGGAGAAGCACAGGAAGATGGCGTAGAGGACCAGCACGTAGACGCCCAGCTTCCAGTCCAGTCTCCATTTGTTGAGATGGATGCCTAGGACCTGGCGGGAGAGGGGGCAAGGGTTGGGCTCGGGGCAGAGAGATACATACAAAAGGCCTTTGTACTGGGAAACGACACACAAACCAGAACCCCACAACTTCCCCCACAGCGTGGGCTGGAGCAGAGGGGTGCTGCCAGGCATAGCCTTGCTTTGATCAGCGCAAGCCCTGCAGGCTTCAGACTTGTGCATGGCCAGGCGAGACACTGGCCCAGCCCTGGGGGGACACATGCCAGCTGCCCTCAGGGAACAGGCCCTCCCCACCCAGACCTTCTCTAGCATCAGCTAGGGTCTTCTGCCAGGTCCTCCCTTTGCTTCAGAACTTGGTAGCCTCGGCCCTCTTCAGCGAAACCTCCAAGGCTGCTGTTGGCCTACAGTCTGGCAAACTTCAGCTTGGACAACCTTCTCCTACGTGTGTGTGTGTGTGTTTGAGGGACAGTTTGGAACACACCCTCATTCTAAATTCTTCCCAGACTCTCCACACCTCCCTCTACTACCTTCGCTCTGACCCCTGAATCGAGGCTCCTCACGGTGGGATCATAGTCACCGCATCAGAGCAATGTCACGGGCCCTCCAGCCCAGCTTTGCCACTTCCTAGACGCGTGACCTTGGGCAAGTCACTCGCCCCCTGAGCCTTGCTTGCTCTCTTCACCCGGTGTTTGTAAGGACTGACAAGTCAGCAGAAGTAAAGAGCTGAGCACAGTCCTGGGCACGTGGAGTATAGAAACCCGAGTTTTACTGCGTGCCAGTCCCCAGGCCTGGCCACATGCCCCCATCTGCCAGCTCTGACGAGCTGGGGGAGGACGTCTCTCCTAGGGAGAGACCGACTTCTTTTCCTCTGGTGACTTCTTAGCTGTCCAGGGAAGAGTGCAGTGGTGGGTGCCAACATTCTTCTCATTTTTGTTTTGTCAATTCTCATCAGAGGATATTTTTTTTCTTTTGACTTTTTAGAGAGGGGAAGAGAGCAAAGGAGGGAGAGTGAGAGAAACATCGATGTGAGAGAGACACATCGACTGGTTGCCTCCTGCACAAGCCCTGAGTGGGGCCGGGGATGGAATCTGCAACCCAGGTACGTGCCCTTGACCGGGGATCACACCCCGTGCATGGGCCGACACTCTAACCACTGAGCACACCGACCAGGGCAGTTTCCAACATTATTGGCACGGATTGTGTCTGGGGTATCTGAATTTCTCTGTTTCCTCAGCTTTGCCCCTCACTGCCAGGGGGGAAGAAAGAGGGGTTTCAGAGACACATAGTGACCGGGTAAATCCAATGCAATGAAGCATGAGGCTTTTTTTTTTTAATGTAAAAACTTACAGTGAGCGCCACAGAGCCCAGCAACAACACCACGGAGTAGACCAGGCCCCGGCTGTTGATCTTCACCTGCAGAGAAACAAACACAGGCCTGACTCTCCGGGCTGCTCAGGGCCCGTCCATCTGCAAGCCCCGCTCCCTCCCTCCCCCACCTGGAAGGCTTGTTCCAGGTGAGCAGGTGGCCGTGGACCACCAGCGAACTGTGGGTTCAAGTCTGGACTCTGCTTGTCTGAGGAAAGGACCAGGAGGGGACAGGCCCAGCAGGGGCTGAGATACGGGGCAGAAGCACCGAGGAGAGCTGGGCTCACGGGGCTTCCCCTGCAGGCACCCCTCAGGCTGCTCTGGAAGCCTTCGTGGAAAGTGGGCGCGGGGGTGCCAAGGAGAATTGGGGAGTGTGGCTCCCAGAGCCCCCGGCTGGGAAAGGCCCACGGCACCATCATTCCTGTGACACGCACGTGCCTGGCGTCTGGCTCGCTTGCTAAGGAGGCGCGAGGAACTTACTGTGGATCCGTAATTGATAACCATGGTCTGCAGACCCCACGGTATTCCGAGTCCCACGAGGATGTCAAATACGTTGCTCCCTATGGTGTTAGAGACCGCCATGTCGCCAAGGCCTGGAGGGGGCAATGGCCACGTGTCATTCACCAGGAGCAGGTCACGGGAATCCGTTCTTCCCCTTACCTGCTCTATCAGAGCCGTCCCCTAACAGGAATGCCTTCTTCACAGATCCCATGTTTCTAAACCCTTTTTCTGAGATCCAAGGCCCACTCCCTCCGGAAGTCCACAGGGGCCTGGGGTGGGCTGAACGGTGACCCCCACGGTTCATACGTTGGAGTCCTCACCCCTAGGGCCTCAGAATGGGAATGGTTTATAGACAGGGTCTTTGCAGAGATAACCGAAGTGAGGTCACGAGGGTGGGCCCTAATCCAATATGACTGGTTCCTTAGAAAAAGGGGAAACGTGGACACAGACAGTGCAGGGAGAACGTCACGGGGACCTGACGATGGTCATCTACAAGCCAAAGACAGGGGCCTGGGACAGACGCTCCCTCGCAGCCCCCAGCGAGGGGACAGGCACCAGCCGGCCAGGTGGGAGGTGTAACGAGGGTGGGAGGAGAGGGCGAGGCCTCTCAGGCTTGGCCGGCTGCCCGCGCTGCACAGGCTGCCCTTGGAGAATCTCTGGCAGCGCTCGCTTCCGAATGTGAGGAACGCACGACCCACTTTCCCTCTCTCCAGGGCCAACCTCCCCGCTGGGCGCCTCTCTCCTCCCCTGTCTGCTCTGAGATTTCCCTCCATATTCACACTCCTGCCCCCCATACTTGCAAACTTTCATCCACGGAGGGAGACCTGTGGGGGGTCCGAGCTGGAAAGCAGCGGTAAACAAGGCTGGCTCTTTGGTTCTGCCTTGCAAAGAGCACGCTGGTCCTGCTTACCTGGCTCAACCCACGTGGCTGGGTAAGCCCCAAGAAAAAGGACCAAACGAGCCAAACAACTGTACAAGTTCTAGAACTTCGAAGAAGCAGAGGAAAACAGCTGGAGGTATAGGACACCCCCACCCTGCCTTCCTGGGACCAGAACATTCCTCGTTACTACCTCGTTTGCTAGAAGTCTGGGCTTTTACCCCAGCAGGCGTGGCTCAGTGGTTGAGCATCGACCTATGAACCAGGAGGTCACGGTTTGATTCCCAGTCATGGCACATGCCCGGGTTGTGGGCTCGATCCCCAGTAGGGGGCGTGCAGGAGGCAGCCGATCAATGATTCTTCCTCATCATTGATGTTTCTATCTCTCCCTCTCCCTTCCTCTTGCTGAAATCAATTAAAAAAAAAATTTTTTTTTAAAGAAGTCTGGGCTTCAGCCCTGTGCAATCTCACATTAGGGATTTCAGAACAAGTTCATTTTCACAGAACTGCACGCACACAGATGTGCCTCGAGGCCTGGAGTTCATCCCGGGAGCATTCTCCCCACGGGTGGAGCCCGACACGTGCTTTCCAGGCGTCACAGTTTCCTCCACGGCTGAGCTGAACTGCACGTCCTAAGAGCTGTGAACTGTCACGGGGGCAGGGGTGAGGGGCCGCATGGTGATGCCGATGGCGCGGGGGGCTGAGACGCGATGGGTACCTTGTCTCGCCACGATTAAGCTGGCCATGCAGTCTGGAACGCTCGTGCCCGCCGCCAGGAAAGTGATGCCCATGATGACGTCGGGGATCCCGAACGTGTACCCGATAATAGTCACCTGCAGAAGGGGGAGCGCTGCTTATCCTGAGTGCTTTTCACTTGAACACAGTCCTGCTGTGACCAATGAAAAAACCCGGAATAGGGTTTTGTTTCAAAAACATCTTATCTGTGTTCTTCCCGCCCCAGGCCCCATTATAGGAGTAATATGCATTTTGGGGACCGTCGCCAGGGTGGCAGGACGTCCTCCCCTCAGAGCGCAGGGCAGAGCACACACTGACCGGCCTGCTCTGGCTGTGCAAGAAGAGACACGCTGAGGAGGGCTGACCCACCAGCGCTTAACTGCGTGGCCATGACGGTCTTCGCAAGCACAGCGGGCGGTGGCTGGTGTGTTTTTAAGGTCATACCAGACATCATACACACAGGGGCCAGGGTTATCTTTGCATTCCTGGGATGCCTCCATTTTCTTTGTCCAATCATCTTACTACCCGGCTAAGAACTTGAAGGATGGAAGGACTAAGGAAGGAAGGGTGTGCGTGCGTGTGCGTGTGTGTACACTCTGTCCAGGTGTTCAGGAGCAAAGATGCTACCAACTGTCACTTTGCCCTGGACGCAGCCCCGGGACCTCCTATCCTTCCAGATGCTCAGTCTCCTCTTGTCCTCAGTCTCCCCAGCTGTGCCAGGGTGCCAGCCGGGATGATCCATTTAGAATGTCCCTGCATTTTGACACGGTCAATAATTTGTTTCCCCCAAAGGGCTGGCATGTCTTGTTTGGGTGGAAATTAGGCTAACATGCGGCCCTGGCCGGATGGCTCAGTTGGTTGGAGCATCATATGTACACCAAAAGGTCATGGGTCTGATTCTCGGTCAGGGCACATACCCAGGTTGCGGGTTTGATCTCTGGTTGGGGTGTGTTTGGGAGGCAACTGATGGAGGTTTCTCACTCACATTGGTGTTTCTCTCTCTCAAAAAAAGAAAAAAGTCAATAAAAAATATATATCCTCAGGTGAGGATAAAAAAAAAATTAGGCTAATCCCTGGCACTCCACTACTGTCTGTAGTAGAAATTCCCCTAAACGGGGGTCAGCTGGAGTTCATAGCCACAGGGAGACGCCTGAGCAAGGAGGGTCCTCGGACTCCTGCCAGGCCATTGCTAAGACTGCTTTAAGAAGTGGGGGTGGGGCAGGCTAGAAGGGGTCAATGGGGGAGAAAGGGGGACATATGTAATACTTTCAAAAATAAAGACTTAATTAAAAAAGTGGGGGTGGTAGAGTTACTAAGTGTTCAAACTCACTGCTAATTAGCAGAACTGATTTAATAATACTGTTATTTTCAGTAATTAGAGAAAAAATTCACACATTTGTTCATTTCATCTTTCCTAATTCTCATACCCACTCAAATATCATGAAATCTATTTTTTAAAAAACTGCAATGTTGTTTTGGGAATGCATTTTAGTAAGAGATATCACTGGATTTTTAAAAAATCAAATGTAAAGATGGGCTGACACACACACAGGCGCACACACGAGCACAAACACACATACACATTAGCACACATGCACTCATGCACACAGGTGCACACACACACACACCAGCATCTATTTTGCCTGCATCTGGCCAAGCATGGAGCAGCCGTGTTGGCTGTGTCTCATGGTGCAAACAGCTGATATCCACGGTTATGAGCAGTTTTCTCTGCTGCCAGCTCAGAGCATGGCGCCTGCACAGAGCCTTCTCCTCCCCCAGTCACCTTGTCAGACAGCGAGGATCTTCCCCGTTTTGGAGAGGGGGCCATGGTTCAGAGAAGTTGGCCACCTCCCTAAGTCTCATGGAACCTAAATGGCAAAACTAGGGTTCAAATCCGCTGCCATGTGAATCCCTCAGCCCACCTTTCCCCACCACGCTGCTCCCCTCGGGTTAAGGGAGCAGTGGCCCTTCTGCCCCTGAAACCAAGACTGGCTCGCCCTTTCTGCAGCCATCATCGGGTGTGAGGAGGAGAGTGAACGCGGACAGTGAGCTTCACAACAGAAATGCAGCCATCCTGTACCATATCTGCTCTGTGCGCTCCTGGCCTCCCCAGGCAGAAGGAGGAGGAAGGGGAGGGGAAAAGGGAGGAGAAGGAGGAAGAAGAGATGGAGAAGGGAAAAGAAAGGAAGGATCCCACAGGGGGTCCTTCTTGGCCCAGCCCAGCCAATGAAGGTTTGTACTGAGAGCTGTGATGCATGGCCGGGGAGCTGCCCAGGAGCTATGCCAGGGCCTCTCCACCTACAAAACTTCAGCCCAAATGGCACTGAAAATTCCAGCAATAAACTGAGAGGCAGTTCAGGATAGTGGGTTGAGATCATAAACTCAGGAGAACAATAAACCAGGGCTCTAATCCCAACCTAGAACTCACGAATGATGTAACTAATTGTGTATTAGATGCTAACTGTGTAACTAACTGGGCAAATTACTCAATCTCTATGCCTCAGTTTCCTCATCTGTAAAATGGGCATAATAAAAATAGTCGTTATGAGGACTAAAAGAGTTTATATACAGTTTATACATGTGCCTGAACGCAGAAGGGGGACAGGAACATTCCTTGGCAAGGGGCATAGAGGGCTGCTTGTATTCAGCTCCCACTGACTGGTCTCCCTCACATTCCCCCGGGACCCCAGAAAGGATGGGGGCCTAGTGATGAGCCCTCTAGAGCTCTTCACAGTAACATCTTCAAGGGATCTGGCCCAGTCCTTAACTTCCAGTCCATGCCACCCCCGCCATATTATCTGCCCATCCTGCCAGGTGCAAAGGCTCATCTCCATGCCCCCGTGCCTGCATTGCATGCAAGTGCCACACTGTATCTGTCTGGGCATCCCTGGTGCATAGCTCAGCAGCATGCACCTCTGCCATTACCCCTTCTCACTGAGAAATAAGCCAAGGTCAGGGAGGGTGGCAGCTTGCCCAAGGTGGCACAGCAGTGCCTGAGTTCGCTCTCCCACCTCTAGCAGGTGCTGGGCAGGGGCTGTCTGTCCGGTCCACCCGGCTCCCGCCACTCACCAGCCACACCATTAGGTAGGAGAAGACGGCGATCCACAGCGTGGCGGTGAGGAAGGTGACCATGAAGAACTTCTCCCAGCGGGGCTTGCTGCAGTTGGGGATGGTGACGCCCAGGAGGAAGATGAGCGGCCAGGTGAACACCCACTTGGCTTTGTCCCCTCTTGCTTCTGCAGGGGGATGGGACGGAGCAAGCAGGGAGGAGAGAAAAGCACACGTTGGGAGTTACACGCCTGTCCGTCTACCTGTCCGTCTATTTTTTCAAGTCAAACAAGAGAATGCTACCAAAGTGAGCAACTGATCTCCCAGAATCACATACCTCCATCGGGTCAGCCCAAAAGTGATCTTAACAACACAATTCACCAAGTATTTGTTGATCGAATAACTTCAGTCAGTCCAACTCCCTCAGAGTAAGGAAAGTAAGATCCAGAGTGGGAACAGACTTGCCCAGATAGCGGGAATGGGGATGTGGAATTGGGATGGGCTTTGGAATCAGACAGACCTGGGGTGGCATTCAAATGGCCTGGAGAAATCTCATCAACTCTACTTCCTCCTCTGAAAATAACAGCTGCAGTAACAACAACACAACAATCAATGCATGGAACACTTGCTCTGTGCACCAGGCACAGCCCTAAGTCCTTTGTATTCAGTAGTTTCTTCATCTGTTCAATGGGAACATTTCTCTCTTTCTTGGTTGTTGCAGGAAGGACATGATACAATGTATGTAACACACTCCCATGTACATGAAACACGCAGCAAAGGGAGAGCCCAGCCTGGCACACAGTAGGCACTCTGGACATTTCAGCTCCTTTGCTCCAAGGTCACATACTCAGCCCGCGGCAGGTGCAAGACGAAATTGTGGGTGTCCGGGCTGGCGGGTATGACCTCCCTGGCTCCTACCAAGGGAATCCACAAACAATTCACCCCAGGAAAAGCAGCCTCCATACACCGCAAGTACGAGCGTAGTGTGCTTAACAAGCCACTGGGTATGGTGTGCACATGCAGGCTCAAAACCAGCGCGTGGGTGATGCACTGAAATGCGGAGGGGGGACCTAGGAAAATGCTCTGCTCCACAGAGGCAGTGAGAACACCGGCCAGAATGGTCCCAATCGCCCCTTTTCAGAACTCTGGAAACTAACCAAAGGCTTGTAGCAATCCAGGGAGTGTCTCCTTAAGAATATTGACTGGATCTCAGTAAGAACAGCGAGCTCGGTGGAGCTTTTACTTGCCCGGTTTCCATTCCCTCTCACCAGCTCTGCAGAAGCCTGGAAGACAGCATACACTGGAGGTGCAGGAGAAGGATGGAGCTCCTTCTGAGTCCATTCCCACAGAACAGGCGTTACTTGACCTGCCTGCTGCAATCTTGGAAGATCCTGCTTCCAAGGGTGTCCTTTTACCTGAACCGGAGCTCAGCCAACGTGAATCGCCTTTTCCTTCGGGCATTTGTTGGAAACAATCAGAGGCCATTGCTGAGCATCACACTTCTGAAGGTGGTGGGTAACAGGACAGACAACACGCGAGCCAAAAAGCGTACAAGGAAAAGCTGGGGCATGTGGTATCTATAGAGGCTTCGCAAAGCTCCTACGGATTTCTGGGAATCTGAAACCCACAAGCACGTGTAGGGCTGTGCCGAGGATTATTCGAATGCTCAGGAAAAGCTGGAGAGTGCTCTGAGCTTTCACCCCGACCTAACGCCGAGGCTCTGAGCAAGCAAGAAGTAAAGGCGGCGGTGGGGTTGTAAACGGCCTGCTTGAGTGTTGAAGATCTGCCCTCAAATACACAGAACCCATCAGAGATGACTGGGAGACTCACTGGATCCAGACACCTAAGGAAATCCCTGCACAATCATTAGATGACCCTGGGCTAACCTAGCAGGTATTTCAGTGGCCACACGCAACAAAAAATACAGGCTTTACAGGGTTATTTGAGCAAAGTCACCATACAAAAGACAACAGTAAATAGTAATAATAAGCAGACTTGAAGGGAGAAGAGTATGTTTTCTAGAGTTGTCCAATTATATTATTTTAAATGCCCCGTTTCCAACAACAATAAGAACAACAATTTAGGAGACATGCAAAGAAATAAGAAAGTACAGCCCATACACAGGAAAAACATGAGTCATAAAGAACTATCTCTGAGGAATTCAAGACATTGGATTTACTAGACAAAGACTTTAAATCAGACATTTTAAAATATGCACAAAGAAGTTTTTTAAATGCCTAAAAATGAAAGGAAAGTATGAGAATAATTTATCACCATAGAATATCAGAATAAAAAAGTAAAGAGTATGAAAAAGAGCCAAAAAAAGATTCTGGAATTGAAAAGCACAATAACTAAAATGAAAAATTCATGAGAGAGGCCCAACATTAGATTTGAGTAGGAAGAAGAAAAATATCATTAGCCTTGAAGTAGGTCAATGAGATTATCTTGTCTCAAGAACAGAAAGAAAAAGAATAAAAAGAAATGAACTGTGTCTCAGAGACCTATGACACACCATCAAACATGGCAATACAGGCATAATGAGGGTGCCAGGCAGAGAGGAGAGAGAATAAGGGGAAGGAAGAACATTTGAAGAACTCATATTAAAAAACTTTCCAAATCTGATGGAAAACATTAATATATACTTACAGGAATACACATTCATCTCAAATTCACATGGAACCCTCTCCAGATTAAATGATGTTACATCATAAAACAAGCATCAATAAGTTTAAAAGGATTTAAATCATGCCTAGTATGTTCTACAATCATTCCACAATGGAAAGAAATTAGAAATCAGTAAAAGAAGAGAAATTGGAAGATTCACAAATGTGTGGAAATTAAATAACACACCCCTTAATAGCCAATGGGTCAAAGAAGAAATCACAAGGGAAATTAGAAAATACTTTGAGATGAGTGAAAATGAAAACACCACATACCAAAACCTTCGGGATGTAGTTAAAGTAGTACTTAGAACTTTATAGCTACAAATGACTATATTAAAGATCTTAAACCAGCGACCCAATTTCTTCCTCAAGAAACAAAAACGGTAGAGCAACTGAATCCAAAGAAAACAGAAAGAAGGAAATAATTAAGATTGAAGTGGAAATAAGTGAAAAAGAAAATTAAAAAATGAAATAATCAATGAAACTAGAAGTTGGTTGTTTAAAAAGATCAACACAATTGACAAAACTTTAGCTAAAATGACCAAGCAAAAAAAGAGAAAAGACTCAAATAATTAAAATCAGGAATGAAAGAGGGTCATCACCACGAACCTCACAGAAATAAAACGAATTATTAAGGAATATGATGAACAATTGTGCCCAAGAAATTAGATAACGTAGGTACAACAAACAAAATTCTACAAAGACAGAAACTTACCCAAACTGACTAAAAAAGATAGAAAAGCTGGGTAGATTTATAATAAGAGATTGACATAGTAATAAAAAAAACTTCCTTTAAAGTAAAGCCAGGACCAGATGGCTTCATGTTGATTTCTACCAAATGTTTAAAGGAGAATCAGCATGAATCCTTCAAATATTCTTCCAAAAGATAGAAGGAGAGAGAACATTTCCAAGTGCTCTCCATGAAGCCACTGTTACACTGATATCAAAGCCAGACACCAAGAGAAGAGAAAACTGCAACACCAATCTCCTTTATGATTACAGATGCAAAAATCCTTAACAAAATTCTGGTCAACTGAATCAAATAACATATAAAAATTATTATACACCTGGACTAAGAGGGACTTATCACAGGAATACAAGCTTGGTTCAGCATATGAAATTTAACCCATCTAATATATACCAGGGCAATAGAATAAAGGACAAAACTGCAATCATGTCCATTGAGGCAAAAAAAGGCATTTGACAAAATCTAACGCCTTTTCATCATGAAATACTCAATGATCTAGAAATAGAAGATAATTTCCTCAACTCGGTAAAGGGCATCTACAATGAACCCACAGTTAACATCATACTTAATGATGAAAGACTGAAAGACCAGGTCAACATTGTGTGGAAGGTTTAGCTGAGGAAACTAGGCAAGAAAAAAAGTAAAAATAATTCAGATTAGAAAGAAAGAAGGAAAAGTATCCCTATTTGTAGCTGGCATGATCTTATAAAAGAAAATTTCAAGTAATACACACACAAAATAATTACAACTAAAAAGAAGTTCAGCCAAGTTGCAAGATTCAAGATCAATGTACAAAATTCAGGTATACTTCTATACAATAGGAATGAACAATCCAAAAATGAAATTAAGGAGATAATTTACCATAGCATCAAAGAGAAAAAAATGTTTATGAATCAATGCAACAAGAGAAGTACATGATTTCTATGCTGAAAATTATCAAACATCATTGAAGGAAGTTCAAGACAGATTAAATACATGGAAAGATGTACTGTACAGGGATCGAAAGACTTAATGTTAAGATGGAAATATTTCCCAAACTGATCTACAGATTCAATGTAACCCCTATTAAAATTCCAGCTGATTTTTTTTTTTTGCAGAAATTGATAAGCTGATTCTAGTATTATTATGAAAATGCAAGGGAGCTGGAATAGCCAAACCCATCTTGAAAGAAGAACAAAGTTGGGAGCTCTCTGGCTTACACCTGCCTGAATCAGGTTTCTCTAGCATTAAGAGAGTCTGAACTAATTCATGGTTTCAATGATTACAGGGTCTGGGGCTACTGGGGGGATGGAACAAGGTTTACACCAAGGGACATCGCCCCAACACCACCAGGAGCCCCTCCGGCCCCCCATCCATTCCTTCAAGTAGAATGTCAGAGACATCTGATAAATGCTCCTACCATGGGCTCTGAGAAACACGCAAACATAAGCAAGAGGAAAAAGGGCTGCTATTGTTCTTTCACTAAGCTTTCAGATTTCTCTTTTGAAGTGGAAAATGACAATTTAATTATGTAAAAAAATCTTTAAAATGAACTGTAGCAAAACAGATGACTAATCATTGTGAAGGATAAATTATGAACAGATGCAGCTGCTTGTGAAAAACTTCAAACAAATTAACTTGGACAGTCAACTAACTAGACAGTCCAATGAAGGGCGTGGTTAACTTAAGGCGTGTGGGGATGTATGTGTCACTGGACGTTGTCAAGTAGATACTCACGGACCCTGGACGTAGGAGTGATCTAGAGAGCATAGCTCCAGACCAGTGGTTCTCAAACCTG